TTTAGTATCACTGACATACTTTGTATATCTGAGTAGTAAATGTAAATAAAATTTCATGTCCTTTCTAGTTCATGCATCATGTGAAAAGCTGTGAGCATTTGTTTTCATCTAAGCTTCATGTAAACAAATGAATAACATATTTAGATATTACACGGTCGAGTGGAGATACGAATTTAATCAAGTGTTGAAAAGATCTTGCACGAGTGAGCGTAGCGAAAATAACAACTTTATGAAATGGAGAAAAATAGGTATTTCATAGATAATGATAATTATTATTAAAATCTTATCATCGCAAGTTTACTTGTCAGTTATCTTGATTCCATATTCCAAGGAACAGGTCATTTTCAAAATGGCACAAGAAATACATGTATTGTGAAGGAGACTAATGTTGTATGTAATGTTGTTTATATTGTACTGTACATGTATGGTAGTCAGTGTGCAGCATGTCATCTAGGAAATAAAGGTAGAGATGCAATATTGCATAAAACTTTCTCAGGCTGAAATCATCACAGTGCAAGAAGAAATAATAACAAAATACAATCAAACACAACATCATACAGGAAAAGAAATAACAAAGATAGCTTTTGGTAGCATTACAAATAAGCTTACCTTGTTATCAAATCCAAATGGATTATCAGGATAAGCACTATCTTTGTCTTCATCATTGTTGTCAACCAAGAGRCAGTTTTCTTGGCTATGTTCTGGACTGGATTGTGATCTGTTGTGATCTTCATCAGGCTGTTTACAGGTTGACTGATCATCTGAAGAAGCACTGYCACATCGATTGCTACCACTGGACCCACTGCTTTGGTTCCTTGATGATGATCTAGTGATAGGACTGTTGAATAGAGAGGACATCAGGGGCAGATCCAGGGAGGGGGGCTGGGGGTACCTGCCACCTCCCCCCAAGAAAATGATTGTTTTTTTTTTTAACTTTTATTAAAGCAAATATATATATTCAGATATTTTTGATCTTCTTTGTCATTCTTTAATATTTTTAGCTCAGACTACGTACGCAGAAATAATAAAAAAATGTACCTAAATGATTGTTGTTTTTTTTTTACTTTTATTAAAGCAAATATATATATTCGGCTGTTTTTGATCTTCATCATTCTTCTTTATTTTTAGCTCAGACTACATACACAGAAATAATCAAAAACATACCTAAGGCTGTAACATACTGAAAAATGAATGTAACGAAAATATTTGGAAACTGATTTCCCTTATGAAATTCATGTTATTTTGGKTGGCAAGGGGTTGAACTAATGGCAGCGTATATCATTAATAATAATTATTCATATAATATRAAAATGTGATGTAAACATACCCAAATGTAAAGTCAGCATCAATAGTATCTGTGGCATCATGAAAGTGATCATCATCATCATCATCTGCCTGTGATGTTTCTTGGGTATCATGAAACTCTTCATCTTCCTGCTGTTCATCATCCTCTTCTGGACACGTAGACTGAGTATTATTCAATTCCACAGCATCAACATTATCTTTGCCATGACCTTCATTTTCCGAAAACTCTTTCTCCTCACATTCTTCTATGTCAACTTCATCAGATTTATCATGAGAACTTGTATCTTCTTTCAAAATGTCTATTTTATTCTCTACTTCATTTGATTGATAACATTGTTCAGCATTTTCGATAATATTTGGCATAGAGTTTCCTTGCAATTTTTCAGAACTAGTGCTTGATTCAAACTCCTGAATCAGGTTTGTTTTGACATTATTTTC